AAATATGACGATACTTTCGAGAACGATCATTTCAGGCAACGCCTGAAACCTTAGGCCTAGCCATTGCTACGCCTTACGCTACATGTATGTATGTATGTATGTTTGAAAAAAGGACATGATGATTCATTGTGTACCATAGGTCTCGATGAATGTTGTCCTATAAATAAATAAATTTTGTAATAAAATGCCTGTGACAGGATTCCAACCTACGATCTGCTGTCAATGTGAGCGTCATAACCATTGGACCACAGAGGCTTCATGGTTGAACAGATTCAAATAACGTCAAATACACTCTACATTTATTTGGTCTATCATACAGTATATCATTTGGAGACGAAATTAAAACAAACAGCGCCACCACCGAAATTCGCTAAGTACAGTACGGAATTTAGATCTCGAGTTTTTGTATACTTGCTCATTAGATGTTATTTTACTCTATTTCAAAAGGAAAACTTTTTGTAAAGGCTGAATTTACAGAAATTGGCCTTCAAACTTAGTGAATGTTCACCCTTTTTGAAATCAACATAGGCCTAGGCTAGGTAGGCTAGCTTTAGGCATAGGATAGCTTTTGTCATCCGGCCTAGGCTAAGAGAGGGTGTGTGTGTGTGTGTGTGTGTGCGTGTGCGTGTTACCATATTATCATTACACCACGGATGTTCATTGGCCTGTGTTGTAGATTTTATAAGTATTGTATTTAAATTTGTTTAGTTTAAAATCAGAATAAACAGAAATTCTGTAATTTTTACAAATTTCATAAATATATGATTCTCGATCTATAAATGTGAATCAACGATAAACACCCATGTGGAATAAAGAGATAGAAATGTGGTGGGGTCAAAACAAATTTTATCACAGTTAATGATTAATGTGTCATTCATTTTCCAATGGATATTTAAATTGAATACGATTTTCAATTAATTACCAATTCAGATGTCAAGTGCGGTAGCCAGTAATGAGATACAGTATAATTTAGTACGAAGATACAATGTAACAGGTTCGTCTGTCGTATTCATTATCAGTACATTTACGCAATCTTTGATAACACTAGGGGGCAGTATTACCAACTAAATTGCCCAACTTGTCGCCAACCCTAAATTGCTACTCGTCGCCAACCCTGACATAGACCAACAGTGCACTTTTGGTAGTTTATTGGATAATTTGGAACGACTGACTGGGTATGCAGGGGATCCACCCGTATTTGACCATTTTGATGCAAAGTTTGAGTACGAGTTGAACAATTAAAATTAGCCCCATGTTCATCTAAAAATTGGGAGCCCAAAATAATAACCTCTGACAGTTTGCATGCCACATTGAAAGGAATAACAAAACAATTCCCATTAATGGTTTAATTTAAAGGAAACCGGTTATAATAAGATCACTGCCATTCGCTGCTTGTGGTTTATTAATACAAGCTATTTCCAAGTTGGAAGCTACAATGAGTAAGTTGCTAGTTAACCAATCGTACCAATGGTACCTCTGTGATTATGCTAATTTGTAATTTAGATAATTAATACCTAATTATTCCGTGGATTGGCATTGACCACCATAATTCCTATCAATTTGAATAAAATTAAATTATTTTAAGTGTTTAAATATTCAAAATCAGTTATTAAAATTAGTTAGTGCTGTGCCCAAAGGTTGGTGTTTATCTACCTGTTCTAAGTTCTCGCTGTTTATTGTTATTGGGCCAATTATTGAAAATTAAAAAATCATTTTTAATTGTTTTGTTAATAAGGTAGCTGGTTTTGCGCCAGTTTTATTATTGTGCTTTATACCCATCTATCACTTTTTATATAATTAGATCATAATTAATTATCTTTTTTACATTTTGTGTTAAGCAAAAAAAAAAGTACCGGTCGTGAGTGCATTAAAGTGAAGTAGCTTTGCATAATGCTTTATAACGCTTGTTCTGCTTAAATAATAATAGGTAGCACACAGTTTTTTGCTCAATTTTGTTCTGTTACATTTTCATATAGGGTCGCAAAGGCAATTTTGGAAAATCTGGACAAATTGGGCCACCAGGGATGCAAGGGCCAGATGGATTAGTAGGGTCAAAGGGTAACAAAGGGTTTGCAGGTGTCATTGGGCCACAAGGTGGAGTTGGCCACAAAGGAGTAGATGGCCCCAAAGGTTCCGAAGTAAGTCAATTTAATTTTTCATTCAGTCAAAAAAAAAATTTGGTAAATAAATGTAAAGTTGAAACCATCCTAAACAAAATATTGAAACGCCGTTATAACAATATAAAGCAGGTTGCTTAATTCCAGCAAATAAAAATATCAATCTGTTTCACAAGACTTCAATTACACACAGTAGATTCTTGTAGCCATCCACCGCCAGTGTACCAGTCATTAATGCGGTTTACTAACAGTAGAATTTAGTTTATCGATTGTCTTTGATTGTTTTTTTGAAATGCTTATAAATGCACTCTCATACATCCTAAGAGGTCCAGAAATAATGTTGTCTCATTACAAGGCTTAGGGATGGAGATGTGTTTAAGTCGTGAAAAACAAATCAGTGTTGTCACAAAATTGAACTAAGACATTCAGATTGGAAGGTACTATCTCAACAACTAATATACATCTTCCCAACAATTTAATTGTGGTTTGATATTAAAATTGGTCATTATTTTAACCGTTTGTGACCATCAAAGAGCAGATTCTAATACATAACGATCCCATGTATCGATTTGCTCCCTACTGATCTTCGTATTATCACTTGTCCTCAGTTATCTTTTACTCAACTTAAAACCTAACTTTTTTGTAATTTTCACTAACCGGTTCATGGGTTCTTCTGCTGCTTTTCAATTTTTCTCCTAGTGCCGGTGGCAACTTATTCTTTAAATTTAATAGGCGCTTTATAAGTTTTATTGCATTATTATTATCATTTAAAGGCAAGCATCTGAATGTAATTGTGGTCATGTTTTTTCATGAAAATGGGTCTTTAACCAAAGAACTTAAATAGCAGAAGAATGAGCTGTTCCGCGTATTTGCATTAAAATCGATGGAATATCCGCCCTCCTGCGAATGCAGTAAAATTTGAACGTTATACTAAGTGGAGAAACTACAGGAAACAAACAAACCAGAGCGGCGCCTTTATTATTACTATATAGCGCCGCCACGCGGATGCAGTAAAGTTTTTCTCCGTGTACCCACAATGCATTTCGACCGGATGTTCCACTATTTTGGGAAGCTGCTCTATCTTCTGCTATTTATTATCTTTGCTTTAACCCACTTCAATTTGACCTTTTTTTAACGTACACTACACAAATGTTGAAATACTAATGAAAGCGTTTATATTCTTCAATACTAAGTTTACGATATCTTTCCCTTTTTGGATTTTATGAAATTTTGGATATACATTGTTGTTGTGCGAGACAATGGCATAATTTCTGAATTGGTCTATATAGGTTTTGTGGTCTATTGCTTTTTACTTTTAGCATACAATCATTTTTCAAGCACAAGAATCAGTATTCTCAATCAGGAAATCTGAGACTAGGAGATAAAAAATGTAAGCTATCACAAATACAATGCATAGATTGAAATTAAACTGAAGACTTTACTGGCATTTCCTCCAATCCCAGATAGCCTTGTATTTCTCTCATCTTCATTAAATAATTGTGAGCATATTTTCCACAATCTCGAAACATTTGTTGTTTCCAATTGTAATTTTACAAATATAATTAATACCTAACATCCCATGGACGAAAGCTGCTATTTAGAACACAGAGTTGCTTACCAAGTAAACATGTGTGGGGCAAGTATAGCAACAAAAAGGGGATGGAAAGTGAATGAAATGAGTTAAAACTAATTGTTACATTTTTGGAAACTACCTAGTTTGCGAGATATTGACAAAAATTTAAATTATGGTGCCCATGTTGAGGTCCACTATGACGGCCATTTGAAATAATGTTTGTTGATTACAAAAATTTAATCTGCTGTAATATTAAAAATATGTTTAAAGTGCTAAGAGCTGTCGAATAATCAGGTGGTGGCCATCTGATATCCAATGATTACTCAATACTCTCTGATATTGAAACATGGTAAAGATATTTGACAGTGCTAGATGCTGTATGATATTGACAACATCAAATAATTTTGGCAGCCATTTTGGTTTACTAGATAGCGTTATTTTTAGAGGTTTGTAGGAATTATCATGCTTTCCTACAAAAGTGCACGATTAGTATCCTTAGCTGTTCCACTATTTAGGTTTGCTCCCACAAATGTTCGGTAAGGCAAAAAAATACCCAATGTAGTTTGCAACAGTAACCATTGCCATGGGAATTGCATCCGTAGTCTTAAAACGAATTATACTCAAACTTTGAACTAGAACTTCAACTGGTCATAGTTGAAATTTCAACTTTAATTAGAATTCATAAACAACGTAGTTGAAGTTCTAACTACAACTAAATCAAGTTATATTTGTTGTTCAACTGAAGAGGGTGGGCAAGCAACAATTATCATACTAACCATTGACAAATGATCATCTATTTAGCAGACAACATTTTAAAGATTTGGTAACGCAGATGAGTATTGGGCTCCCATCTGTCGTTTAAAAATATATTTCTTCTTAATGCATACTAGACCACCAATTATTTATTTATTTGTCTATTATAATAACTATAATTTGTCTATTAATATACTAGTAGTTAGCATGTAACTATCTCCCCCTCCTGTGTCCACCTCGTGTAGTGGTAGTGTGGATAAATGAAATAAACAAGCAAATTGATGAACTACTGTAAATTTGCAAAAAAGTATGCTGAACAAAAATATATATTACTTTATTTGTGTTTAACCACAGGGTCCAATTGGTGTTAAAGGAGATCCAGGTATGCCAGGTAGTCCAGGTCTGAAGGTAAATATCATCTTATATTGTAAACATTTTTATTATTTATCTATTTCATGTGGTTTCCAAGAGAGGTTTAACAAACCTGAACTAAGGTTCATCTAAGGCTTTCCTCTCTAGGGTCAATTAGGAACCGCTACTGACATTAACAGCCACAGATTTCCTGAAACAAACACAATGCAGATATACAAGTACAATCTCTATGCTTCACCAAATAGTTTGCCAATATATGTTCTATGCACAGGAGTAATATTCTAATGTGAAGGACACAATTTTGTTTAATTATTATGGAATACATTTCATGTCATTTATATGTCTCAAACGTTAAAATTTACAACAAACATAAACAGCCAAGAACACGAGACAGGACACCCCAATGAAGGAGTTAGCTCCTCCTCCTCTATAATCTCCTGGCCATGATGCCTAATGTTAGTTCCTGGGGCCAGAAGCAAATCTTTGATAAACGAAAATAATAGTTGGAAAAGGTCTTCAGGTCGTTCGTCAGGTTCCTGTTTGATGTTGTCCGCTATGTGCACTGCACCGTAGTGCTGTCTAATCAGTTGTCAAATGCCTGCGAGAGAGGTGGCACCCTGTGTTATTGAGTTTCGTGAAATTATTGGGCAATAATTAGCCACCTGACCTAGCATCATGTCCACTTGGCCTGTTGCTGCTCGGCCTTTTGCCAGATTGGTTTCTCTTATCTTCTCGGGTCTTGCCCTCTTCCTTTCACTTGTCTATTAAATTTTCATTAACAATTTTCTGCATTTTCAATTTATTTAAAAGCTATATATATATATATATATATATATATATATATATGTATATGTATATGCATAAATAAATCAAAGAAATGTAAATACAGTGTTCGAATAAAAGAAACTAATACATCGTGTAGCATAGCTCCCAGCGAATGTTGTCTTATAAATAAATAAATAAATTGTGTAATAATATGTTTCATGACGGGATTCAGACCTTTTATTTAAGTGGTGTTGCACAAATAAATAGCGTGTTGAGCACATGTGTGTGACCGTGTCCATGGCATAAACCTGAACGTGTTTTATGTTTCTCGGCATACTTTGCTGGTCCTCGGTCGGTCCTCCAATGACTGTTTTTAGTGAGGTCCTCTGGACATAAGGTTTACAGGTGTGTGTGTGGGTGGGTTTGTGGATGTGGTGTGTATTTTAGTGCACTTTATCCTTAGGGTAACAATGGTGCAACCCCCCCCCCCCCCCCCCCCATAATAGTGAAAGTACATATTTCGTATTTTGTATTATATCAATAAATATTATATACACAAATCCATGATTAATATATATCAATAATTCCATAATTAATATAATCCATAATTACAATTCATAATGACAGGTCCTGTTTTTTTTTTTTTCTTTCTTTTCTGACTCAGGGTGAGAGTGGCTTCTTCGGAGTGGCAGGACTTAAAGGTGAATTAGGAATGATTGTAAGTCAAATATACAGGTATCTTTAAAGAACCAACTTTTAAGATATACAGTAGAACTCCATTCTTTGGGACACCATTATTGAGGGAAGGGTACATCGCTATTTCGAAAAGAGGGAATTATAATATACCTTTTCATACTTGATAACACGCCTTTCCACGAATCGGTAGACAACTTTAAAGTAATATGACAAGCGACCCAAGTCAGTGGTATGTAATGAACAAAAATAAGATAAGCTTTGAGGGTAAATTCTTGTCCTCATGCTATTAACAAAATTCATTACTCTATAACAGAATGTAATGGTTGAAAAAATTTGAAAATTTGTTTTGACCTTTGAAAAATAAAGATGGAAAAATGAGAGCCTATCTTAATAGTGTATTAGAATAGGCCTATGCTGTACATATTTCTCTTATTATATAGTTGTGTTTTATAGTAAAGTAATTCATGTTTTTAACACAGGAAAATCTCTGAAGTCATACGGTAACTGAAACAGTACAGTAATCTACTACTACTGCTATTAAGTATTACTGTACTGTACTGTATAGGCATATTTTAATACACTAATTAGATAGGCTCTTCTTTTTCTCATTTCAGAGGTTAAACAATTTTTCAATTTTCATATAGTGGTTTCAAATAGTCTTTTAAGAAAATTTTGTTGCGCCGTTCTGAATTTTTAAATAACATGAGGACAAGAATTTAGCCACAAAGCCTTTCTTATTTCTTATTTTTGTTGGTTATGCACCACTAAAGTAGGTTGTTTGTCATCACTTCAAGATGTCTACCGATTCGTTGAAATGGTGTATGGGTCATCCTAGTGAAGTGGTTAGGGACAATTCACAACACTTTTTTTTTATTATTGTTATTCTGCAACAATTAAAGCTCAAAATAATTTTCATTTAAATGTTTTGAAGACTCCTGATTTAACATTAAACCAGATTTTGTTTTATCCTTAAAATAGATCTCAGTCGGTATAGGTATCTGTGTCAGTGTGACCTTGTTCATTTTGAGTAATATTTTTTAATAGTGTCATTCTATAATGTTTTTATTGATGTTACGTCAATTGAACTAAATTTATAATCAACCCATGTCACGATTTCAGTCCACCCTCATTTCTAAGTCGTTAATTTGTTCATACCATGGACCTTATTAATAGGTCCATGTTCATACTAAGCATCCAGTAGAAAACGCAATATTGTAAACAATTCATTGATTGGTTTTATTTGTAGCAGGAATTAATGTAAGTTATGTTGGTTTAATAATATACAGTTAAACTTGTCACGTTTTGTATATAGGTCCATTTAACTAAATTTGTAATTAACTTATGTCACATTTTAAAAATGTATGATTAAGTATCAGATACCCCATATTAAGGAGACAATTTCACATTTCTGGTTAGTATTTCCTAAATAGGGGTACACCTATTCTGGGAGCACTTCTATTAAAGGTCAATTTATGTGGTTGAAGATCTCTAATAATAGCATTTACTGTATTTAAGAGTATACAAAGATATTGTAGTTAACAACAATACACATTACACTTCAATGTGACATTATTATCCAAATTGGTATATAAAAAACTTTTTCAAGCATTTACCAGAGAGTTGATAACTTTTGCCTATGTAATTGTAAATTCTAGGGTAAAAAGGGAGTGAAAGGTCAAGTTGGTAACAAAGGATTGATTGGTAGAGATGGCCCCAAAGGAGTTAAAGGTCAGTCTGGGGAAGTAGGACCACCAGGCCGGCAGGTAATCTTTTTTCCTTGCTTCTACACATGTTTTATATACTAAAACTCTTGGCACATGGTCAAATTTTGCCTTAAAAAAAAAAAAACGAAAATTAATCATTTATTAACATTCAAACAGTCAATGCGAGCAATTACATGGAAACATACTGAATCTGTCACGCACTTGTTCTGTGAACATAGACTGCTCAAAGTGGACAACATAAATATCATTATGTTTAATGTTGTAAATAAATTATAAATCTTTTTAAATATCATATACTGTAGCTTCTTATGATTGCAATTCAAGAGGTAAAGTACTACTGTGCCCTAAAAAGAGAAACCACATGGTCCACAGTTTTGAAATTTGCTCAATTCTGATATTAAATCTAGTAAAACTCTCTTTAAATTTAAACAAAAAAAATGTACTTAGTAAATACTATTATCAGCTTTTAACAACTTTTGTTATCCTGCTGCAGAGATTTGTCATTTTCTTCATTATTACTCAATATCTTTCATGCGATTTATATAATGGAGAGGTTTCGAATACTGTATGTCTACGTATACGTTTAGCTATCTACGTACACGTATATCCTAATGAACATATAGTAGAATGATGACAAAGAATAATAACATAGGCGGTTGACGTTTTTCCAGGATATATAAAAATTTATTTAATAACAAATATTTTGAATATATGTGATGTATGTATGTGTGTATGTGTACCTGTATGTATGTATGTATTTGGTTCGACGATGAGATGACAACGACTTAATAGACATAAAATTTATTCAGAACATGAATATATGTGTATGTATCAGTGGCGAAGTGGGGGTATTGAAGTTCTAGTCGAAAGCATTCAAACTTTCAAAAACACTGTTTTTATCCTCTCTCTAATATAGTAAAGTAACTGAAACAGCTATATTTTGTGTTATTGTACATTGAAATTGACTTAGGTGGTCCCTCATCATGTGAAAAGTAAAAAAAAAAAGAAAGAAAAAAAAAATACAACCTTGCAATATGTTTAACCATTTGACTAGATTGCTTAGCCTAATTTTTGTCATGAATATATTATTCAGATGTAGTACATTTTAAATCAAAATAAAGTTAACTCTATCCTGGATAAACATAAATTAATTAATCTGAGTATATTTAAATGTGTTGATTTGCAGTATATTCAGTAGATATGACCATGGCATCTCTGTTAGTTATTGCAAAATATATTTATTGTCTACAGGGAAAATCTGGACCCAGTGGACCAAAGGGAACAAGTGGAAGACCAGGAATAAAGGGCAGTAAAGGTGCTAAAGGAATTAAAGGAATCCGTGGTGACATCGGACACTCAGTAAGATCATTGATATTGGATATTGCAAAGACAATTTATGTGATGACAAGTTTTGGGCAATATATATACTGTCTCTTATACACATCTAGATGTGTATAAGCTGATCCAGCTGATATATGGTAGGCTTATTTTGACAACGGTGGCTACAAATTTGGCAGATCCTAAATCAAGTACAATAATCTAAGGGCCTAATTTGCATATTAAGAAAGGTGGCTGTGCTGAATTTCCATATTCAAATCAGTTAACAAGGTTAAAGTTCATTTGATTTACAAAATAACTTTATCAATAGTAGAAACGAGTTGATTGGCCGAGTGGTTAAGGCAGGGGCATCGCAAATTAAAGCCACAATATCGGCGTTGGTTCAGGCGGCAGACTAGTTTATGATTCTGGTGGTAGAACAGGTGTTCTCGGATAAAGACTATAATACCGTAGGCCCGGCGTACCAAGTGTTTCGTGTGCACTAAAGCAAGGGGCGGATTGCTATACGTTGTGAATAACAATATTATTACTCCATGGACCTATTTTACAAATCTTTTATTTTGCAAATATTTAAATTTACCTGTCATTTCACTTGTTGACGAACATTTTGTTTTGTTTTCTTCAACATTTTTTTTCAATAAATTATAAATTTATGTGAAAGAAGACTTGTTCCACCATTACAATCATATAATCATATAGTGTGCTTTGCGTAAGCAGCTTGGCCATTTGACGTGCCTATAGTCAAATGAATAGGAAAAGTCATGGAAAGCGGATGTTTTTCTACTGTTAATTGATAATGTATATCAGTGTTAGATATTCTTACAGGTTTTTAATTTGTATTATAGGGTGCTCAAGGACCAAAGGGGGATAAAGGAATAAAGGGAACACCTGTGATTGGAAAGCCAGGTAGACAGGGATTCAAGGGACTCAAAGGACTGCCAGGTAATCAGGTAAGATCGGCGGAAGAACTTCGATCTAAAAAAATGTTCTGTTCTAAAAGGGACCAAAAAGCATACCGTAAAACCTCTAACTGAAAACCTAGTGAGCTCGAGATAAAGCCCATCTTGAATTGAAGCTTCCCTCTTTACTTTGGATAATTAGCCTCAAGATAGCATAGGCTTCTTTTCGAGATATGTACATACACTACATGAAATTTAAAAAACAAAATAAATTAAAAACAAGCTTTTTTTATACAGTAGTTTAGGTGATTTAATGCTAGTTAAATACACTCCAAGATACAGATTGATGCTGCAGTGGCCACATTTATTGTTTTATAGTACAAATTCACAAAATTCACAGCATTCATTTTGGAAAAATAAAGCCTCGCCTCTTTACTTTGCAAAAAAAGAAAGCCCTTCCAAAGTTCACTTCAATTCTTTACAGTATATTGTAAAATGAATTATGAAGTTTAAAAACAAAACAACTTGCTAATTTTTCAAATTCACATTGAATCAGATGGTTTTAACTTATGATCTATCTGGCAAACGAGGCCACGTAGGCCTCAAGTGGCAAGCCCATCAGTTGGGCTTAATTACACACCTTCCGGGCTGCTTCCAGTCTGCCAGCCAAAATTTGACAGATGGTCAGTTTTTATGACGTTTTTCTTTGTTTTTGAAGTAATACTACGTTAGCTATGCCAGCTAGCGTCGACTGTGTTTGCTAGTTAGCTCAGTCAGCTAAGATCAGTTGATGAATAAATGAAAAGTAGAAGTTGAATAAACTGTTTCTGTGTCATAACTTTTAAGTACAATCTACCCATAAAAACTGAAATAGAAGTCCGTTAGAATTAACCATGATGACATTGACGAACACTCATAATAATAATCATAATGTTAATAATGCAAATAATGATAATAACAATATAATTATTACTATTATTAATAATAATAAATAATACTAATAATATGCATAAGATCTCCACCATTTAATGTTACTATAAGATCATTAAACACTTGATCTCAAAATATTAATACTAATAATAACTATTAATTATCTCTGTTTTTCATTTTGTTATAGTTAAATCAATTTATTTTGAATTTACTTTTTTGTATATATTTATATTGTATTTGTCATTGTATTTGTTTTTGATAATGGAATAAGAGTAGTTTGCTGTTTGGGCTTATGCCTATTACTTACTCCTGGCAAGAATATTGTATGTATACTTTTTACTTTGCCGAATAAATATTATTATTATTATTATTATTGATATTTATTGATAATGAGTGATATCGAATTCGTCCTGACACGCATTTAGTAAATAAACATTATCGTGTTATATTTCGCAGGGCGATAAAGGATCAAGTGGCGTAAAAGGCGAAAGAGGTAACGAAGGCGCAAAAGGTTATACAGGTGCACAAGGGAGGAGAGGACCACGTGGGAGAGTAGGACGTGTGGTAAATGCTACAAATTTAAATTTATATTTTCGTATAAGTCTATACTTAAAGATGCATTGTCTCTTGCTAATGTCAGTAAATCGTAAAAAATAATTTTGAAGTTAACTTGCTCATATTGCAATAGCACACACATTATTAACTTGTGCCTAAAAATTGTTGAATTTAAAAAATGTGTACCATGATTTTTAAACCAAAAAATTATAATTAAAATAATAAAACACTTCCAGTGACTGGAAGTGTTTCTATCATTTTTCGCTGTAAACTGATGGGTAGGCATTTTTTAAATACACTAATTTCTATTTAATAACTTTTATGTTACTTCAAAATGGGCAAGTTAATTTCAAAAAATGTTTGTATGATTTTTTTAACATGGGACAATACATCTTTACATACCGTTTTTTTGAATAAATTCAGGGTGTGTCATTCCACTGCTGGACGTATCCCTCCTGTAAATTTTTCCATCTTTCTCTGTCCTTGGCTACAGACATCCACCTTGGAGTGTTTGCTTTTATGTCGTCTATCCATCTTCTCTTTGATCGTCCCCTTTTCCTTTTCCCCTCCTATGGATATCATTCTGTGACCTTCAACGTCCAGCTATTGTCTTGCAACTTTGCCAAATGACCAGCCCATTTCCACTTGTTTTTTTGCAATGTAGGTAAGTATATCATTTATTCCTGTTCTTTCTAAGATAACCTTGCAAGGTATTCTGTCTAAAACTGTTATGTTCAGCATTTTTCTTTCCGTGGTGTGCTGTGTCACTTTTATCTTGTCATTGTTTTCGTTGGTGAGTTTCCATGTTAGTGAGCCATAAGTGAGTACGGGAATAATGCATCGGTTAAAAACTTTTTATGCAGAGACTCATTGGGATCTTCTAATTGCATAAAATATATCTGTATCTCCCAAAATGTTGCCAACCCGCATTAATTCTTTCAGCAATAGCTTCATTTAGGTCAGTTAGGTCAGCCTTGAGTTGATAGTCTGACCTAAGTATACTTAGACTTTTCGCGCTGCACATTTAGGCTGTAACGATCAAGAGGAAATAGTCATTAAGAAACTGTAGGTTCCAGTAGCTTTTACTCCGAAGAAATGGGAATTTCGTACTAAGCAATGCGCATGCGCAGTTATCAAGTAACGTCTATGAATTATCTATAAAAACACAGTGAGCATGCACTTGGAAATGCTAGACAGCCAGTGAGCATGTGCATTGTGTAAGTGACGTTATCGAGCCATGTCGAGCATGCGCAGTTACCAAAAAGACGTCTCAGGAACCAATAGCAGCTGTGAAGACGTTTCAGGAACCAAATAGCGGCTGTGAAGAGGGTGGTTACCAAAAAATCATCTTAGGAACCAAACAGTGGCTGAAGAGGGTATGAAATAAAGATGGGAAAACTATATGTTATAGATGGAAGATAATGAGAACTCGAGCAGGTCGAAAGCATCTATTTTGGCTATCTTTACAGCCAGTTCATCAGTGTTTCAGGGGGAAGTGTAATTAAATTATCGCAAAAAGAAGTATATTAGGCTCTATCGTCGTACCTACGTACGTAGACCTTTGTATTGACAATCCCAAAAAAATAACTACAGAAACTGACACAACCTAGGGCCTACTACCAGCCAAGTAGTAGAGGCAGGGTATTCCACATGTCGAAAAATATGGTACCTTACGCTGAAGAGGGTTAGGCTAACTATTATCGAGATATCGTACGGTACCCATGTTTTATCGACCCATAAAAAATAGCTACACACTGGCGGCAGTAGTAGAAAGGCCTAGCCAAACTAGTGGGGGAGGGGAATGAATACAAATAAATAAAATAATATTAAAATTAATATTATTATTATTAATACAGTATTATTAACAATAATGGTAGTAGCAGGACACAAACAAGCAGAAACAGACCCCATGGATGGCAAAACGAACAAGGGAAAACAACGTAAAAGATTAAGAGATGAGATCGATATTTATTGGGAAAGAGTGAAATGGTACAACACAGCAAGAGAAAAAGATTGATTTGGCATCGACATCCTGAAACATTTGTCCAACAGTGGACTGACAATAGCTGATGATGAAACCTCTGAAGGTTATCAACGTGGTCAAGCCTTGAGTCTAGGTTACAGCTTTAATAATCTGCCATATGGGATTACAACCCAGACAAACCCAGCCGCAGGAAGAATCTTAGATGACCCACCTTTTGATAATTCCATATTCGTTTTATCATTTTTTTATTTTAACATAAATTTTATTTTAAAAATAATCTTTAATTCATATACAGTATTATGCATATTGCAGTAAAAAATAAGGCCTATCCTTTAATAAATAAGCATAGGGCTATATTTATTGATCTATAGGAAAATACAGTTACAGATTTATTTATTGAAACAGCAAACTTAAATACGATAACAAAATTTACACATAGGATAAATTTGGAAGTAGCTGTATACACAAATTGAATAAGCTACAGAAGTTTTTTTATAGGTAATTTCTTGTTTACTTTTTCAATGCAAGTTTCTTCTATATTTATCATTTTATCTGTGGCAAAATTCACCATGAACTTAGTCTTTCCTTTTATGTAACTTCAATCCTACTTTCTTGCTCTCTTCATTTATTATGTTCAGCTGATCTTCCATCTTTTCAACTGAGTTGGTTACAAGTGTAATGTCATCTGCATATCTGAGGTCTGAGAGATATTCTCCATTTATGGATATACCTTTTTCCTTTATGTTACTTGATGGTGATAAGGTATACACACTTTCTTATAACAGTTTTTTTTTGTCTTTCACAGGGTATTGCAGGTAAAACAGGCAAGCAGGGTAAACCAGGACTAATTGGTCCATCGGTGAGTTTTTTGCAAGTAAATTTGATTTTCTACAGTGCAGGCTTTATATGTCAGCCTTGAACTAATCATAATAGATGGAATTTTTGCATATTCTTGTAGATATATGTGAATAATTATTGAACAATTGTTGTAATGTTCTAGTAGCTGCATTAGTCAGAAGCGAATGAACATTATACGGTAAAAAATACATTTGTTGCAACTTTAGACCACGGTTTCTTGAGGACTACATCTTACTGCAGTGTTTCAATTTGCTATTGGTAAGAAGGCTGCATGAAGATTTCACAAATATTTATATAATACTGTCTTTGTGTTATGTCGTCATACTAATACTTGATTATATCCCCTGAGCAGCATGGATCTTCTCCATCTATTCTTTTTTGTTGCACATGGAATAAGTAGTTGCTCCAACTCCGTAGATCAGACGGCAGGTGTAACTATCTCTGTCGGTAAAATTAAAGTTGCTCTGAGAACTGTCGTTTTATTTGGGGCCACGTCCGCTTCAAGATTATTCTCTGCAAGTCTTGCATACGTGGATCATCTGTATTAGTGTGGCAATATTCGTCAGAGTGCCATCTTCCAAATTTACCTATTCCACCATGTTCACAGCTTCCATGTCTTATTGATTATTTGCAGTATCATCAGTTTACATTATATAACCTCAGCTCAGCTTGTTTGCTAATTATGTACGGTACCTTTGTATAGTCATGGATTGCCATGCGCAGTAACGTTCTTTGTAGCCTCTTTGGAGCTTTATGTAAATACTTTTTCTGAACAATTTCTAATGGCCTTTGATCACCAATATGTTTCTCTAAGCCAAATGCCGCTAAGAGCCCCTTTTCATATGATCATTTTCAACAAGTTCGAAAGAGGAAAACAATGTGAGAACACAATATCAAAATACTTATATACAGCAACATGAAACTAATAATTGAAATAATTGAATAAAAATGTCGAATAAAATATGGATAAATCAGTAAATTAAATATTTCAAAATACATAATTATACAGCATTTATGAATTATTTTTGGATTGCCTTGATTTATTAAATTTTATTCCAAAATAGTAGACGATTTTTTGAAAACTGCTTATGGTTGACGCATGCGCATTCCGTGGCTTCACGTTTCAGTGTCCATCAGTGTTCTACTAAAATATGCTCCTAATTCAGACTTGGAAGCATTTGCTTGTACAATTAGCTCTTTGTAGATCAATACTGGGAACGAAGTTACAGACTTCTTTATTTATTCCTGTGTCTTTTTGCTGATCAGAAGTAATGTTATTTATATACTTTCTGGTTGCAACTGCCGACAGAGCCGACTCAAGCGGATCATTCGGCCTTGTTAATAGTGTTGTGCACTTAATGAAAATGAAAAAAAAAGTTATTGAAAAAGTTTTTTATATTTTTAATATAAAGGGTTTTTTTTAAATTTGAATTATTAATTCACTATTGACAATTCCAACTTGGAATTATTATCAAGAAACCCTGAAAAATTTATTTATAAAAAAATGTTTTTAACCTTCTAGGGACCAAGTGGCACTCAAGGCATCAGTGGCGATCCAGGACTCCCTGGAATTATGGTTAGTATTTTTAAGTCTCATAAGCATATATATATATATATATACTTCCTTTATTCGGCTCTTAAGGGGAAACTCTTTGGTCTATGATTTTGCCTTAATACACATCTTTAATGCACTATGGCATTGCGAAAGAATAGCCATATTGATCCGACCCGGATTCGAGAGAGAGAGGGTGGTTCTAGCTAACTAAACTAAACCTGAACCTAGGTCTATCTCTCATCATAGGCTAGGCCTGTAGGGCTAGGCTATAGCCCAGTATGATAGACCGAGCTTATACCATGGCTTGTGCCAAGGTGTATATTTATTTTTACCTGATCGATTTCTAAGACATGCTAATGATTGCTGATGTTTTGAGCTTAATGCAATGGGTACTCGGAATGTGTGCTAGCATTGGCGGATGTAAGGAGGGTTAGGATGCCCTGACTACCCCTCTCCCCCCCCCCCTTGGGCAAAAAATGAAAATAAAAAAATATCCAAAGACAAACAAAAATAATCCTAGACCTACCTTTTCAGGACCTGTGAGCTGAAATTGTTTATTTTTACAATGGAAAAATCAGAAGTCGTGAAAGCTCATTTCCCGCCATCTAGGTGTCAACATTTTCCCAACCTCCCTTTCTTTTTGGGGTTCATCAATTCATGCGAAAAAATATGTATACTACTCAATTTTTTTTTCTGTATGTATACACACATAATAGATAATAGGCATATTTACTGTAACAAGAATGAAAAAAATTTACCTGACCATTTTCAAGAGGAAAATCTTAAATTTTGAGGAAGTTGTAAAAGTCATTAAAAGACACATCAGAAGTCAGGAGAGCTCATTTCCCGCCATCAAGAAATAAGAATTTTCCTGGACTACCCATTTCTCTTTAGGGTTCATCGATTCATGGGATCCTTTTCAAGAGAGGGAAAACTTGAATTTTGAAGGCATTTCAAAAGTTGGGAAAGCTCATTTCTCGCCATCCGGGAATCATAATTTTCCCGGAGGAGAATCCCCGGACCCCCCTTTATTTTTCGGCTTTGTTGGAAACATTTTTAAAATTTGATCCCAAATCAGCCCCAAATTAGCGTTTACCCAATGCAGGTGCAATTTTGTCAGTACATTACAATAGTGTGAGTGGTCAAATGTTTCCGTCGAAAGAAATCAATCAAATATCAATCAAATATTGCAAGAAATAAAAAAAAAACATGCTAGAGTGTGTTTGTACATTGGTTTTCCTAGAATTCTGTAAAGGCACCGAGCAGAGAAATGGAATGAAAACAGAATGTCATTGGGGTCACCCTTGTCCTTTAATACAGGAATTACCAGGGCAATTTCTATTTAGAGTGTCAAGCTGTATTGAGGATTATTTAATTATAAAATAAGAATTCATCTAATGACCAGCAAAAATCGCCTTGAGGGATATGTGCACTACATGAATGCTATAAAATAGTTGTAATAAATATATTTTTAATGTGAACCAAGTAAAACTAATGACAGCAGACACATATTATGTACAATCAAACAAATTAGCATGTACAATCTGATTTTCTTCACATTAGGGTAAAAATGGAGATCGTGGCATCCAAGGGCCGTTTGGACAGAATGGGCTGAAGGGTGACAAAGGATGGAGGGGCAAAACTGGTCAACAGGGTCCAAAAGGAATTGTGGTTTGTACATTGGATATTGATTAAAAAGATAAATTTCTCGTCATCTTTCGAAACGTAATTGGGAATTTTGGCTGGTATTTGGTACCCACAGCAGACAGTTTTAGCTTTAACTGACATGTAAAAGATACAAAATTGTACAAGGTCCATTCTTGTGAGGGTTATTCAAATCAGCTCAAAATTCATATCTGAACACAGACGGAGCTTGAAACAGGGTATGCAAAAAATGATATAGAAGCTTTTCCACTTACCAAAAGTATTTATATGCAAATAAAAAAGCCAGTTATACAACTGAATTTTCTAAGACACAAAAAGTATATTTGTTGAAAACTCAGGGGCTGTTAATGAGATAAAGCTTTTTAATATTTAAAAACTGGGGCAAAGGAACATAACCACCTATTTTCCACCTGCTTAATCATCAAGTATTATCTAGTAATAACTAAATTGTTTTTGTGACAAAAATATAATGGTAACTTTTTAGGGTGTGATTGGTGATCCCGGACAACCAGGTCAGGTTGGTGAGCGAGGAGCGCCTGGTCCAACAGGATTAATAGTGAGTAATTAACTGCAAGACAACCAATGAAAACTTATACATAATTCTTTTGATAATTAATTAATATTATCAATATTATCATATGTATCATATCACTAGGGAAAAACTAATTATATGAAAGTTGGATTAATGGATGAAAATTAAAATTAATGAGAGCCTGCAAGCCCGAAAGATAGTTTTTGAGTGCCTTATTGTAGCCTAAATATGATAATTTCATCCAGTTTGTAGATAAGCAACTATACTAATTGCTGGTACTGGGTATTTATATTGCGCCTTTCACTTGCGGTTATGAAACGCACGCCAAGCCTCACTAATTCAGAAAAACAATGGTAGGCATAAAATTGGTCATTTTTCAGGAACAACATGCATCACAATAGTACAGTCACACAAAAACCAAAGACAAATATACAGATTACAACAATAAAACACAAAAGAAAAGAGCAGCAAACGAGTGGCTTAGGCAAACTAGTAAGTCTTGAGTGCATGATTAAAAGATTAGGATCATCGCTGTCTTTTAAATGATAATACTGTATATATGTAATACAAGCCTGTGAACAGCCTGCTGATCACAGTTTTTATCAACAATTCGTCAACCTTAATCACATTGTTCTATGACCAACAATCTAAAGGTGATTAAATTTTGAAGGGTCAGTGTCAAAGGTCAAGGCCACAATCAACGAAAAACTTTATATAACAGCACAGTGCATAGTTTTCATTAAAAAAATTTCAGACTTGGCCACAATATTCCATGACCAACAATCTGGAAGAGAAAAGAAAAAAACACAATTAGCCGAACAGGATTGCCAAAAACTGAACTAAATCATAGTCTACTCTCTCCGATGCCAATGAGAATTCACATATTCAAAATTCAAAGCAATAACGCCATAAGCTAGACATAGGTGGGTCTACTATTACAAATTACACCTGCACGCAGATGTGTGGATGTAGGACCATTTAAAGAGGAATGTTCCCAAACCAATATATCAAAAACATTTTTTTTTTCATGGGGTCAATATGCGTGGGAAATTTTTAACAGAGGAGAATTATGCTGTGGGCGGAGGTATGCACTCTCAAAATTCTTTCTAGTTTGTATGAGATGGATATTAGAGTAACATTTATTCATGACAGGATTGTACAATAATTTAGGTTTAACTGCTGATTGCTAACATGTGTTTATTTAATTAAGGATAGATTAGTACTGACTGGGTAATTGCTTGCATCTGTATGTTGTTTTCATGGGCGCAGATCATGATCAGGCGAGGGACACGTCCCCACACATATTTGTAAGGGAGGGTGTTGGTCCCCCTCACATTTTGACCGCAATGAAATTTCATATGTCAAGAAAATACATATAAATATTTGAAATGAACTGCATAAATGACCAAGGATAACAAAAGAGTGCTGTACAACCAGAGTACAGTAATTTGAAAAGTATGAGAAAAGATTGATTTTTAGCACATGAAGTAGGGAAAGTAAAGTAAATACAATACATCAAAAGGCCGGGTGGCAACGGGCCGGGTGGCAAAAGGCCGGGTGGCAACAGGCCTGCATGGCAATGGGCTGGAACCTATTTATTTTTTCTATGCTACATTACAGAGATTAATTAAGTATCTATGATTGCTGAAATTGGCTGATAAAAGATCATGATAAATTTGTTGGTGCTTCATCTTGACTATAATGGTGATGTAACGATGATAAATTGTACTTTAAGGGTCATTTTCGGCCATCTAGGGGTAGTATTTCCCCACTTTTTCGCACCTCAACCTCGACCATGGTGGACCTGAAGTAAAGTATAGTAAATACATCAAAGGCAATGTTTTTAAACTTTTTTTCTATGGTACATCACGCAGATTATTTAAATCTCTATGGTTGTCGAAAATCGCTGATAAAAGATCATTAAAAATTTGTTGGCACTTAATTTTGACTATAATGGTGATGTGTTGATGATGAATTCTATTACAGTACTGTATGTAAAAGTGTCATTTGCGGCCAGCGATTTTTTCCTTAAGAAACATTTGCAAAAGAGAAAAAAAAAGAAACATTTGCATGAAACTCCACTTGGGCCATCTCGACTGACTCTACTCGAAAATCTCATACTAAACAATTCTGGAGGTCGAAAGGTCACCAACCAAGGATAAACGTCAACTTCATGATTTTTATTTAATATTTTAAGTAGTATCTATATCTTTAAGATTTTAATCCAAACTTTGTTGTCTTGTTGTTCCTATTTCTCAGTAGCACGAGACCTAGATCATTTTGTATGTTATCATTGCTGTATATCTGTATTATTTTGCAATAAAGTTCATAAAATATATTAACAAAAGAATACATATGACAAGCACATTTTGATTTTTTTTCCCACAGGGATCCAAGGGCAAAAAAGGAAGGCGGGGTACAAAAGGTGTTCGTGGACTACCAGTAAGTCGACTTCAATTAGTTTAAATTCTTCTATTTTTAAGTGTCTTCACCTGCTACATATTGGCATAAATTATGCTAAAGAAGGTCATTTAGTTAATGAGAATCATAAGGAAATTAGGGTGTTATACAAGAAAACTACTTTTTTTGCATCTTGGTTTTTTTTTTCGTTTTTTTTACTGTGCGAAATGTGTCAATTTTATAATATTGAAATTACATTTTTTGCCATTTTGTTTTGAAAACTACATTTTTTGTGTACTGTATATTCTACTATATTTCTCTTATTATTACTTACTACTTTTTATATGTTAATTTTCTGTTCAATTTCCACCTCTTAAATTCTGAAGTGGTGGATGTTAATTTTCTGTTTAATTTTGACCTCAAAATCTTATATGCCATCAACTTGGCTCTTTTATAAAAAGATGAAAATTTAAGAACATGCATTAAGTTTTTACTCTCAAAATATTATTTGCGTATCTCAAACATTGCATACGTTCATACAGTACCTGATGCATTTTGCAACTTATTATTTTGTTATTTTAGGGGCCACCTGGACCACCTGGTAAAGAACCATTTATTACAATAGAGGTAACATTGGTTGTTTCTCATATAGTTATTAGTGTGTGTTAATGCTTCATATGATGATAATCTTAAAGAATTATTCTCATTCTATTTAGGTGAATTTGCAAAATGGTCTCCATTGCGAGACCGTCAGTATCCTAATTTGTGTGAGTCTGTGTTTGTGAAGCATTTACAAGATCATATTCTTCAGAGCATTGTATGTTTAATATCATTGTTGCTAAGCTTTATCAACCCTTCAAAGGAGAAGCTTACCAATGTTGTAATTTGTTATTATTATTATTATTATTATTATTATTAGAACAGAGTAGATTCTAGGTAGATCTCATTGGCTATTGTTACTTACTTAAATGTTGATGGAACATGCATGATTGAATTGTATCAGGGAATTTAAGTTAAACAGAGAACAGTAATTTAACTGTTCCCTAATTGTATCTACATTTTTATGGTCATGATTTAATACTTCTATAAAAATACCATTCTCAAGAGCTGTTTTAGATAGAAATAAAATAGATGTACTAATAAAAAATTTGTATTTCATTTTTGTTACAATTGTTTAGATGATTAACTTTCTTTGTCATTTTCATTAACCTTGGATATTTTCTTTCACATTTAACTACTAGGGTAACGCTACCTATTTTACCTGGAGCATTAATTACCGAGAAGCTGATGAACAACCTAATAAGGTAAAATAATTTTAGTATTGGAATAAGAGAGACAATACCAGGAATTTCCAAGACCCATACCATTCAGTGTCATTCAGTTTGTATCTATAAAATGTTCAACTAACTATAAAGGAGATTGCACTGCCAAAAGAATTACCAAGCTTGTTTAAAAAAAAATCTGCATCAAGTTATAGAAATTGACATTCAATTGTACCAAGTTTTAAGAGATTAAAATAATTATCAGGTTTGTTGTTTTAAGAGTTGTAATGAAATTTGCAATTTTGACAAATACAGCTTCAAGTTTTATTGTTGGGTTGAGGCTGAAAGAAGAATCAATCTTATCATTGGCTACAAAAACATGAATTAATATTATTTACTACTACATTAGATTTGTTCCATCATTACGTTTCACCAAACCTTTATATCTCCGTGTAATAACATGCATGTCACTCCTTTTTCTTCCCCTCTTCTCTTCCTAAACAGTGGACTAATCTTAGAAGACGTAGACATATCATTCTGCCATTACCTGATATACAGATGAGCATGCCACGTGTGCTATTAAGTCATAGCCACTGTTTGCTCATTAAAAAGGCTCTTAAACATGTCACGAGACTTCTCTCGCAAGATTTTTTGGTAGATATTGTTCATTGTCATGACACATGTTTATGCATGCTATGCCTCACAATGATAAATTTACAGAGTACGGTAACGCACTATAATAATGTTATATAATGCATTTTTATGTCATTGTAAAACAAGCTCAAATTCACTTAAACTGCTTGTGTCTGTGGTACTTAAAGTCTGGTCAAAATATTTAAAACAATGCCTAACACTAAAAGAATTTCAAGAAATTATAGCTTGCCGTTTTATAGCACAAGACTTGACAAAAGTTGACAATAATTGACCACCAGAAAGTGCCTTTTCGATGGATCTAAGCTAAATTTAAAGTTGCTGCATAGACAGATTTGTATATGTAGAAGTCATACAAAGTTCTGTATCTGTCTCAAAATAAAATATTTATTGTACTAGTATATATATATATATGTTTGGGCAGATATTATCGATCCAATGTTGGGCATACAGCTATAACTGAACACTTAGAACATGATCATGTGAAAAGCATTCATATACAATTCCAAGAAATTCATGTCCAATTTTTGTTTTAACGTTGGCGTTGTAAGGTGGATTGAACCATATAATGTTTCTTTTTTTTTTCTTCTTGTCGTTGGATTGCACGTTGTGAGTAGCCGGATTGCATTTCAGGTCATAGTTGAACCCACTTTTGTTGAGGGCTTCCTGATACGGTTTCTTAGTTTCGTCAAAAGCTGCTTTGTTATAGGATATATTGTACAGTCTCTTGTTTTATGCCTTCTGGGATATTCTTTACTATAGATGGCGGATGGTTGCTCTTGCAATTGACGTTTCACTGCTTGTTATTCTCCTTTCAGTAGGGTTTATAGCTTCAATCATTGAGGTTAAGTGTTACATCCAGGTAGTTGATCACTTTCCTGTTTGCCTCAATAGTAATTTTTAAGCTTGAATGTATTGCATAGTTTCTTTTTAATTTGTTCGATTTCACAGGGGGTTGCGTTGAATGCAGCAAGTCCATCATCCCTGTATAGCCCTATATTATTACCATATTTGGATTCTAATTTGGCTAGTAGCAATAGCCCGATAAGCTCACAGGTCTCCGCGCCATTGCAGCTACCCATGGTGACGTCAAAAATTGTATCTCTCTTGCGCCAAACTGAATCGTCCTTGAATAATAGAGTGTTCTTGTACAGGTGGGTATCAAGTGTATAAGTCACAGTCTATTATATGCAAATTAAAAGATGTACTGCTAGTTTAACTATCTTTTTTTATTTCTATAGGCACATAGCACAAGATTACCAATAGCGAATTAATCACTGTCCTATTATAGGCGGCAATCCCTTCACATGACAAACATAAACACATGATGCTTCACATAGACCATGTCTCATATGAGACATAGGGAGTGAGTTGTTTTGGTCATAAGAAAAATCCTGTAATACCATGACAGGATTTGAACCCAGGACTCTGGGATTGGAAAGCAAGCATCTTAACCACCAAGCTATTCAACTCCACTCCAAGTAGAAATATGGTGACAGCAAACATTATACAAAATCATGAGCTCGAGAGAATTAGATGACACAAAATGTGCACAGTAGATTGAGGAAAAATTAAAACTATCCTTGTCAGAAAATGAGAAACAAAAAAACAGAATTCTCAGTATTTTGAAGAACCCTAAGTGGTTGCAACTATCGACTGGCGCCCTCTCAATATATGTCTGTATTAAAGTTATGCAAAAATTCAATCCCGCGATAAATTTACTCATGAAATCATATATATCATTATATCTATATTATTACCAATAAACCTGGACTTTCTACATCGAAGCACCATAAAGACACCGATGCCCATGTACAGCACATGTCTCAATTACAGTTCTTCAAATCCCCCGGCTTGCAGGGATGTATCTCTAGAAATGACGATGACAATAAAGCTACGAAAATGAACAAACATGGGTCAGTGGATTGCTGTCGGTCATTACTTTGGTGCATTTTGAATGGTAAAGGTAATCCTTAAATTTGTCTGTAATGGCCCACTTTAAAGCCAATTATTCCAGTTTGTGGGCTGGATAGTTGCGCTCACTCTGGCTAACAGAGTGGCTGGCATATGCGACAGGTTTTCATTTTCCTTCAACCTCTTGCAGCAGCATTGCTCCAAGCTGATAGAACTAGCATCTAATCAAATATTACAGAATTGATACTATCCAACATTGAGTAGTGCATTATCAAAATGCAATTTCAGTTTTACTTCCGTGTATATGTTTACATTCCGGGGAAGTGACACATGAACTTGCGTACGTACTTACGTTTTGCGTAGCATAGTATGCGCAGACTATTTAAGGTAAGTTTTAACAACCAACAAATCAAATTAAAGCGCTTTGTAAGCAAGGCACGGCACAAATATCGTAGGCAGAGCGTAACATCTCAGTGAAATAGTTCAGTTTTCTTTGCTATAAAAATCACTTATCCAGTAGGTGTATTTCGGTAAACTTTTTGTATGTTGTAGAGATAAAATGTTATTATATATATTCATGGAAAAACATTTTGTTGCAATTATGTCCAACTTTGGTGTTTTATGTCCAACTTTGGTGTTTCAAAACAAGACAAGAGTCACGCATTATATCCATCCACCAAAGCAAAAACAAAATCAGAAGAATGCATTTTATCTACTAAGCATTGAAAAATTAGCAGTTAACCAATCACAAAAGACAATGATGCATATTTAATTAGTTTCCTAGCTAGTAGAAGGACATAATATCAAGTTTGATTTTAATTAGAGTACAATTATATAAAGAAGAATGCATTGTTCTTCATCCTTATAACAAGTTGCCATATGACCATGAGCAAGTTGTGGTCATAATATTATTATTTTGACTGTTGTATTATTAAATTTAGTATTATTACAACTAAGATCATTTAACAAACAACATAAAACACATACATATCAAACTTCTATAGGCTTTACTTAGACTCTCCAAGTGAATGTTCAGAATTTAGATATAACATCTATACTAAATTTACATTTAAAATATTAATATTTAAATGAGTGCGCTCCCTTATAATTTTCAGAAAATAAAAAGTTATTGTTGGAATTAATTTTTTTGTTTATTATTAAAGTAAAAGACAAGTATTCTACATAGTGAATTTAAATAAACATTTATACTATATAAATTCACTATAACATTAATGTCGTTTGTTCTTTCTGTAGTGGTTACTGATAGTGAAATATTTACATTAAATAGTGTACAATACTTATATATTTTAAGGGAAATACAAATTTATTATGTAAATCTGATCAGACACATTTTTAAAATCTTTTATGAATGCAATAATGTTGGTAAGTAATATTTTTAAAAAACTTCCTTTTATTTGTTTTGTTTTACGTATGTTTGGACATATAATGGAATTAAACCCCTAAAGTCTAACGCATACATTCTACTTGAAAAACTCAATATAAATCGTCTAACATCAGATTTTTCATGCTTCATTGGACTTTGTTTTAATTTGGAAGTGCACATTATACATTTTAACTAGGATTATATAAAAAAAATAATCAAAAAGTACTTTAGTATGTTTTTCTGTTGTGTGAAAAATCAATAGAATTAATTTCCATTAAAAAAAATGCTAACAAAACAATGTTTTTTGCTTAAAATCTCCAAACTATTATTTTGGGTTATAATATGTTCTTCCGAATCACTACAGTACATTGGGTAACATTTTAGATGTAATCTTTGAAAAAGCACTTTAAGGTGGTTGATATGAGGCAACTTTTGAGATGAATTTACTGTATGCATCAAACTATTATTGTATTTTTTAAATGATGTACCAGATTTACTAAACTAATAAAACGAATGAGATGCCAATACATATATAGTATTAGTTTTTTTTTTGTGCTCTAACCCTCTAATAGCTCTTTAAAAATTTGCAAAAATAACTGCTAACTGCTTACTGTACTGAAGGCTACTCCTATGTTCTATGATTTCATATATTTTTAATTATTTGAAACCTTTAAAAGGGTTTGCATGATTCAAATATTAGTATTAATAATTCTTAAATTGAAATTCTATGTAAGTGGAATTTATTTTTCAGTGGCGGGTGGTGAAATCAGTTGTCCTTAACTGTATTTAATGGTTTACTTAACTAATATTAATATTTTATATTTACGCAGTCTAATTTAGGCTCATCGAATCCTGTCCATGGAGTTGGCGTAACGCTTGAACCAGCTGCTGCTTTTCCAGACTTGATCACCAAACCAGTACTATTCCATCCTCCTGAGGCTAATATGCATGGACCTCAAATGACTAAAGAGGAACTAGATGAAAAGGTATATGTATTGTATTTTATTTATGATGGTGTTTTTCAATTACTGCAACAGTATACTACATGGCATTCCACATAAGCATCTTGTAAAACTTCAACTTCTTTTAAATATGGCAGCCCGTCTTGTAACCGGCACCTCAAGATTTGACCACATTTCTCCAACTCTCTGTCAATTACACTGACTTCCGGTCAAGAAACGCATTGTGTTTAAGCTAATGCTTATTACATATAAATCATTGAACAACCAGTCACCAGCATACATCCGTGAGATGATTGTGACAAGATCCATGACTTGTACAAGATCCCTTAGGTCAACAACTGATAAATCTGTGCTATTCGTTCCCCAAAGTCGTCTCAGAACTTATGGTGATCGAGCATTTGTAGTTGCTGCCCCTAAGCTTTGGAACAGCCTGCCCGATTATGTACGCCAGGCATCTTCAACTGGGATTTTCAAAAGCCGATTGAAAACTCATCTTTATAACTCACTATAGACCACTCACATTCATTCATTTTCGTTGCTCGATAGGCCAATATTTATTTACACACATCATTATGACACCTGTGAAATCAATAGCTGACCGGCCTTGGTCAGTCAGTGAAACGGTGTGATGATGTGTGATTCTATTTTTTATCTGTTTTGTCGGTTATTCTGTTTGGTTAGTTTAGGTTATTTCCGGTCAAATTTATTTTCATACATTATTCACATATATTTTTCAAGCGCCTTGAGACGGTTTCGATCGTGAAAGGCACTATATAAATATAAAACCATAAACCATAATTAAAGCCTCTTGCTGAGTCAGTTGAGTCTAACAGAGGTCGGCACGTTCTCCCCACAATTTTGCAAAGAAAACAGACCCATCTTTCGATTTTTTTTTTATTGATTTGATTAATAAATCAATAAATCAATAAATCAATAATACAAAAAAAATGCCTTACCTCTTATATTTGTTTTATGTTCAATAGAATGATATTGCTATCCTTGTATCAAAGCTGAATACCTTAACTGGGAAACTTCAGCAAGTAAAGACACCAAATGGCTCAAAAGATTTCCCAGCAGTCTCCTGTAAAGATCTGAACCGTATGCACCCAGGACTGAAAGATGGTAAGAAGCTCCATCTTGTTTTAATAAAATGACTAAAGCCATGTTTGAATTGGATTAATGTTGACCAATACCACTGAAATTGTATTACATATTACGTGTTAAGAATACCTGACTGAATACTTTATGTCACGGCAATGACCATTGCAACCGTAATATTTTTGAAAAAATAGATAATTATCAAAGAGCTGCATTTGAGTGTAGACGAGCCAGAATTTGTCCGAGAATGCATCTGATGAATATCTTTGATAAAAGCACACAATGGGCATAGACTTTTTATAAGCAAAGTGCCATCACTCATAATGATAAAACTGAATCGCGATGTTCGCAGTGGACCTCAAGCGGGGAAACTAGCATGATCATTAGCCAAGGGATTTTGAATTAATTCTTGTTTTGTTCCGATATTCAGTGATTTGGTCTTCCTTACTACGACAATTTGAGTTTGGTAAGTCCAGTTTGTTTCAAACATGGCAGAATGCAAGATGACATTAAAAAGGCGGAACCTATATTTTTTGGTGTGATTATGCTACTTACATAATTCACATGGTTTTAATTAAGATAACATATTAAAATACTTAATTATACATTACATGTGCATTTTATACTACCATAATTCCTATAAATTTACTTATTTCAATATTTTATGTGTTAAATTATTTCATTTCATTTATTTATTGCAAAAGATGTGCAAATACAAGCAAAAAAACAAGAAAAGATAGCGCACTGAAAAACAATAACAGAGAGAAAGGACAACTAAAATGTGAACCTAATCAACTAATCAAGTGGTTGCCCAAAACCACATGGCAAATGAAAATGAAAAGAACATCAAAAGAGCTGCATCATTTGTCAAAAAGTATACATTAAATAAGAAAATAAAAAATAATAACTTATAGAATAAAATATTAGCATATAAATAAACAAAGACAAGGATGAATAAAAATAAATAAATGAATCAGTCAATGTGCCCCGGTGGGGATATGGATAATAAGGTGAATTTTATTAGTTATTTGATAAGCATCACGCTACTGTAATATGACTTGATAATTGTTGTAAAGTCCAAACATCGAAGCATACTTCCACCAAGATCCCAGTGAACATCATGAAAGTAAGCTTATCCATAATGAACAGACTAGGCCTAGAATAGAGGCCTAGCTAATTAGTAGGCCTGGGCTATCCTATTCCTAAACTTGGCCTTGTCGATCGTTTGTTTTAGGACTACATGGTCATTGCTATAAAAACATTTATGAATAATAAAAAATAAAAGTTTGTACATACCTCATTGCTGACCGGCATATAACTAAGGCCTTGGCCTTTTAGGCCTAGTGTGAGTGACCACTCCACTGTTCACATAATAATGAAGGTCCAGTGACACACTTGTTTTGATTGTGTTTTCAAAGCCAGCTTGCCGTGTTAGTCCTAATTTATGTTGTGTGCTTCATGTACTTTACTAATAGGCCTACATCATTAAATGATATTACTCAAATCTAACCGATTAGGTATACTACAGAAATCCAATATTTACCGATTGTGCTGGAGGTCCTATCCCACTCTGAGTTTACAAGACTATTACGTTGAGTATACTTTTTTGATTTAGCACACAATTGACGCCCCATAATCTTAGCACTAGTAGATACCTCACTGACTCTGTAGTTGGGATACTTGTTTTTGTTCTGTTTTTTTTAATAGCATTTGAGCAGGACTTGCATCCGTACCATCAATAGGTGTGTTTCTATAGTTTATTAATGCAAAATATATATCTCCTTTATCTTTTGTGTTTTCAAAAATGTTCATAATTTGAACTGTTTTACTTTTGTGATACTTAGGTAATCAAGTTACATGTTCAAATATGTCATTATTCCAACAATAACATGAAGCGCCACTGATAATTACTTCGGTTTTTTAAATGGCGCTATATAAGTTCTTACTTTATTATTATTATTATTATTATTATTATCAGATACAAATGCATCTGGGATACCACACCTATATATATTATTATTATTATTATTATTATTATTATTATTATTACCTAGCAAAATGCTGTTTACAGTTTTCAATTACTTTAGCACTTTGAAGTTGTTGTCAGCTTATTTTCAACAAAACTGTAGATATAATAATCAACAATTGACTATAATTATACAGTAATTATTTCCATTAATATGAAATAAATCAGAACAACCTTTTGCCACGGTCTATTAGGTTTTGGGTAACCTATCATTGGTTCTTTAATTGCTTATGTTTAAATTCAGCACAGACAGTACACTTTTCAAAATACTTAGTAATATTATATGACATGCCTATAGAATACAATATCTTTGGCCAACATTTTACTTTTTTCAACACCTTGGAGTGTACTATGAATATTTTTAAAAAGCTACTCTTTAAAACCTTGTGGAATTATGACTTTATTTCTTTTAAGTAGGATACCATCTTTCACTGTTAGCTCATCTCTAAAGGTCCAATATTTGCTTATTCTTTGTCGACCGTACTGCATTTATTTGGCCATCCAGTTAATATTTGTTGTCTCATAAGTTCCTCATAATTATTGGTTTCTGTTTTTAACTCAATTAACCTTTCTTTAGTTATAGGCAAAGATTTTACCATATATTTCAGGCTAATTAAGATACATCCATAAAATTTCTACTCAGAGCATCTGCTACATATAGATATTTACCTTTAACATGCTTCACATTCCAATCATATTTTGCAATTGCAGTAATTTTTTGAAAATTACTTTAAGTGGTTTAGGATCTGGACTCTACAGTTATTTTGCAAGCGAAAATATAATTATGAATATTTTTATTCAAATAAAATTGCAGCCACTTTATTTTCAATTTGAGCTCAATTTTGTTGAGTTTTAGTGAATGATTTTGATGTTTACTGGTGTACCAGTTGGAAATACGAAGTGTTGGCCTTCCATTTTTTGGCGAGCGTGGTAATATCGGTGTAGTGCTTTGACATGGCATACGCAGTTTCCACGGTTTTCCTTAAGCTATATGTCGTTGGACATTAACACATGTTGAAGAGTGTTTGTAGCAACAATTGCGCAAAATAGTATGTTAGAAATAGAACCTTGTAGAAAGTGAAATCGTAAAGGCGAAGTGGTTGCGAATTGGAGGTTGTTGATTAGTTTTGTCAAGATCTGTGTAGTAATTGGTAGCCGAGTGAAAGTAGCGGACTGCTGTAGGTTAGGTTTCGATGCTCCTGTACACAGGATGGTCAATTTTTGCGGAACTGTCGGATCCTCCTTGTAAGAAATATTGTGCACGAATGAGATTGCACTAAAGTAAGTTTTAACAGTAGAAACTGCAAGTCCAGATTTTATCAAATAGCACACTTAAAGAGATGGCTTGTTGGGTTGATGGTATACTTAGCGGTAAGTTATGCTGTCGAAGAAAATGACGAAAGTGTGTCCATTGCTTAATGTAAGACATACCAGTGCCTTTCGCTAACGATCCCCAGGTAAATGTCTGTTCAAAGGAGTGAAGTTCTCTGGTAGCAGGTGTGTTGGAATTTGTAGAGGATGCGGCCACACCAAGATACAGTGAATCACACAAAATGTTCTTTTTACCTGGTATATGTTTGGACATGGAGTTTATATTGTTAACAAGCAGAACAAGCACTAAGGGGTGAACGATATGCATAACATTGTCATTGTTTGGGGTTTTCCTATTTAAAATATATACGTTATCTAGGTCATATTGAATCCCCAGCAGACTAATTTGCAATAAAAATATAATTGAACTTTAAGACTTAAAAGGATATTATACAGGCATATAACTAGTGCTGTTTGATTGTATTGGAGGTGTTTTTAATATAATGACAACTAAATACATCATTTTCTGTAGGTTTTTACTGGTTAGACCCAAATGAAGGTGCAAATGGGGATAAGTTTAAAGCTTACTGCAACCTCTCAGGTGGAGGATATACTTGTATTAAACCCAAACAAAAGGTTGGTAAACTCATGAATATGCTAACGGCATTGGCATTAATATGTTATTCCAGTCCTACTTACATAATAAATTTGAATTATTTTTCAACATATTAATTATAGATTTCTGTCCAAAAATGGAACATGGATAAATATTGGTTTAGTAAAAGTCAGAATGCTGGCCAATTTACTTATGAAGCCAATAAGGTCCAACTTCGGTTTCTGAAATTACGCAGTAGTAGAGCAATACAAAGGTAAGAGTTGATATAGAATTATAAAATAGGACAATGTCTATGCTATTTTTGTTAAATCGTCTACAATGATACGTTTACAATAATTATAGTAATACAGAAAAACATAGTAAAATAAATGTGAGGTCTCACCACGAAATGAGACGCATTCACCAAAACAGGCCAAAGTCAACATTTTTACAAAATTTTGATTTTAATGTTTTTGAATAACTTGATACTTATATTTTATGATTGTATACTTTGTATGTGAATTTTCTTGCCAAAACAGTGTTCTCTGCACATATTCTGTAATTCTAGTCATATTATTTGTAAAGGTTAGTTTATCTTTGAGGCTGATTTTCTCAAAATGTGGTTCTTATACACCTAAACTTTAAATGCTCAAATCTCTGGATTTACTTATAGTAGGGCAGCCATTCAAAGACCAAATGAAAGCTTATAATGTGATCTACCCAAATATAATATAAACTCAATTTTTGAATTTCTAATCATTAGACTCATTTTGTGGCGAGACCTCACAAATAGACTAAACATTGTTTGAATGGCAGCACCTGATTTATCTATTACAGGTTTACCTTTAAGTGTGTGAATACTATAGCCTACTATGATCCAAGAAGAAAAAAATATGATAAAGCTGTGGAATTTTTGTCACAAAATGGCAAAACACTAAGAGCATCACATCCCTCTTACACAGTAGTTAAAGACACGTGTAGGGTATGTATTAAACTTTTTATTGTTTCTGGCGGGTGGTACTAGTAGTACTATAACGCATTTATTTGCTTTTTTATTCATACATATACCAGAACAGTGAGAGCAGCTTAGCTCAGTCGGCTAATCTGGTGGTAGCCACTGTGTGTGCGCTGAACTGTGGAGATCTCTAGGTCCCCGGTTCAATTCCCATCGCTGCCTCTCCTTGTGTTTCAGCTAGAGGGCTGAAATACAAGTTACAATAGCGGACCGTCTTTCGGATGAGACGTTTAAGCCGTTGGTCCTGTGAGCATTATGGCCCATGTGAATGTTAAAGAACGCAGTACACTCTTCGGAAAACAGTAGGGGATTGTCTCCCGGTGTACTGCCCAATCACCACCAGACTTTCGTGGGCTATCCTTGGTGTTTACACCGAATAAATTCAATCAATCAACAATTAAAATAAAAATCAAGAAAAAATTTGAAAAATTCTCAAAATACAATTTTCCCCCATGATCAAATCAATAAGAGATGAGAACAGAATACCACTTTTAACAGATACCAGCAAAACAACAATCAATGAAAATACTTACACACACTAAACTACTACCAAAGAAAGACAGATTATTTTACTTGATTTAAAAATCATTTTGCAATTAAATTTCTGTTAAAATATTATTATTATTATTATCATTGTTACGAAGTCTAAAAATAAGCTCGCCCTTGACAAACAGCAGTAGAAAGGTGATTTAGATTTCAAACATGTAATTTGCTTCTATTATCTTGTATATGTGAATATGCAGACATTCATTTTTTATTTATTCTTGTCAACTAAATTGTTTCTGATCACTTGTACCGTATATTATTCATCATTTGAATATTTCTCAACTTCCTTTAAAATTTAAGCTTTAGAGTTTTTAAGTATACACCATTTATATAATTTTATTGTAGATGTACTAATTGTAGAATGTTCATTTTGTGCTTTGTCATTGTAATTTCTTGTATAATGGATTTTCTTAATGTTAATGGTTTACGGTTTCCACCTGTTTGGTTTTTTCCAACCTTTTTTCTGATTGATTGTTTTTGTACTTTTTTTCATGGCTGAAATTTGAATAATAATTAACCATTCTATTTCTAACCCGAGCCTTGTTTTTTTCTTTCTATTCCCAGCAACGTTCATCGAATGTCCGGAAGACAATATTTCAGTTTGAGACCGGCAAAATCAATTTATTACCAATTGTAGATTTTGCTGTAAATGATGTGAAAGATGATCAAAGATTTGGCCTAGAGATTGGTGAAGTTTGTTTTTTGTGATGCTTGTTTGAATTAATTGATTTTCCTCAGGTTTCCATATAAAACTCTGGTGTATCAGGTACTGAACTAGTATTACATTTTAATATAGAATTTTACAAGGTCTATTTCTAAATATCGTCTTAGTCTGATTTTCAAAGGTTTTTAACAAGTCGAAGGATCGATGCTTTGCCCTGGCTGACGTATTATCTTACTGAATGCTCAGTACATTCCCAAATACTTGCGAAAAATCTCACAACTGATTCGGGTTGGAGTCGAACCCACGACCCCAAGATAAATAGCATGGTCTCATAATCACTAGACCACCGAGCTTTCACTAAGTAAGGTTGGACACCACATCATTTCTATTACATTTATGGCATAAGAACATCATCAAAATACAATTATTCATCGAAATACAATTGTAAGTCATTATAATTGAAGCTCTCCATGTTCAAAATAGACGAGGTTTAAAGGAAGTCGTAATGCAAAACTTTGTTTAAACTTGCTGTGAAAGATAGGAACTCAGTTATCACAACATTTTGAAATCCTTGGTGATTTTGATTGTTAAATTGTCATGGTTTGATTCTCTTATGTCAGAATCAATAACACAAAGTGCAGTATCTACTCTAGTGGAATTATTGATACTAGTCAAAGTTTGTTTGTTCGAATTTGGAAAATATACCGAATTAGCCACTAAAGATGACATCATCACCATTTCGTATATTGGGTATAAAATCGTAAACATTCGCTGGAGTCGTATTCTTATGAGGGGTCAAAAGTGAAGTGATGTCTATTAAATCTTCTAATATGTAATGAAGTTAGCATAGAATGTACATTTTTATAACAACATATACATATACATTTTGAATTATTCATAGATTCATAAGATTAAAGTTAATTTAGTTTACATTTCCATGCAGACCAAAAATATGAATAGTTTTGAGAGTCCTTCTAGGGGTTCTAAGAAAAAGAAAAGTGTGTTAATGTTATACTGACTATACAATACTAGGTTTGGTGACTAATTCTGTCTAATAACTGACTGTCTAATCACATTGATAACACTAATTTAAGTATGACAATTTCAACTGAACTTTAAAAGTATACAAACATACTACTACATACTACATAATTACTGTATTAACATTTGAACATGTGAATGAGATGGAAGGAGTATCCCATGAGTGAAACCCGAATGGAGCAATCCAACTTTCACTGAAATACTGAACCATTGCACAAACAACTAAGACATATTATTAGCCTTAAAGATGTAACACAACTAATTAGGTCCTTGTCATTTGATACTGTGAAGAATGACAACCATAACTACAAGAATATAATGTTGAATGCTGAGTATTATCAAATGATTGAACAAAACTAAAATCTACCATTAAAAACAGATATTTGGGTGTGTTATAAAACAAATATACAAATTTAACTACTATCTGTAAAAATATTTAATAACTATACGGTTTAATTTGTTTTGGAAGGTAATGTGGATAGAATCGGAGATCTAACTGCCAATGCATGAATTAAATATTCTTTACAATGGAAATTAAAAATTTGCCCTAATATTAAATTTTCTATATACCAAAAGTGGCATTTAAATTGCTGTGTCCCATTTATAAAATTATCCCAATACACACTTAAACCATTTTCATGAAGACTGTCCCTCTATTGAATATATAACATCTCTAATAAATTTAATCTAATACAGTCAAATAAAAAGTGTTCGACTGTTTCTTTTTGGTTATCAGTACATTGTTTACATATGCCTGTGTTGTGATTAAACCATGATTGCCTGCGGTCTTCAAGATCTAACGAATTGGATTTTGCTTTGAATTTTAAGTTAATGCCTTTGGCAAATATTATTAAAAGTGTGGGCTTCCATTATACATTATATTCTGACTATGATGTGTTGTCATCATTGCTTCTATTTTCCTTAGTAATCTATTTTCCTTATTAAATTGCCGATCCATTCAGTTACAGGTTCTTGATTAAACGTATTACATTTTTTTTTTTTTATAAGAACCAGTAAAATTTTGTCCAGACTCAGTGTTCTTATTTTTTGGCCGATTTCAGGCTCAAAATGTTCTTATTTTGTTCGTATTTTACACACTTTTCAGACAGATAATTATTATGTGCACAATGAATACACTGTACTGAAATGTAGGAAAAATTGACCCCTAAAAAAATTGCCTCAAATGACAGGTAAGTATACCTACTGTACTATATTACATAGTCACACCTACTGCACATACAGTAAGGTAAAGATAAAATGTTTTCGTTTTGTAGTTTTTAAAAATAAAAACCTCATTTGACATATTTTACCTCAGCCTCAATTTGTTCATATTTTGTTCTTAATTTTCAAGCAATTTCAGCCTCAG